CTTGGGTCCCTTATATTGGGAGATCTGTGGATCTCCATGGCCTGAGAGACTGTCTTCTTCCTCAGACTAGGGAAGTTTTTAGCAACCATCTACTCAAAGACACTTCTATCCATTTCTCTTTATCTTCTTCTTCTAGTATCCCTATAATGCGAATATTGTTCCATTTGGGTTCGTCACACAGTTCTCTCAATATTCTTTCATTCTTAGAGATCTTTTTTCTCTCTGTGCCTCAGCTTCTTTGTATTCCTCTTCTCTAGTTTCTATTTCATTTATCGTCTCCTCCATTGTATCCAACCTGCTTTTAATACCCTCCATCGTGCACTTCAGTGATTGGATCTCCAACCTGAATTCATTCCTGAGTTCTTGGATATCTTTCCGTACCTCCATTAGCATGTTGATGATTTTTATTTTGAACTCCCTTTCAGGAAGAGTTGTAAGGTCCATGTCATTTAAATCTTTCTCTGGAGTTATATTAATTTTACTCTGGACCAGGTTCCTTTGGCATTTCATATTTGTATATGGCGCCCTCTAGTGTCCAGAAGCTCAACTCTGGAGCTGCTCAGCCCCTGAAGCAATGTCAGGGGTCACAGGGGAGAGCAATATTGGTGCCTAGGGGGAGGAAAGAGCTGTTTCCTGCTTCCTGGCTGCTGTGCCTGTCTCCACTGCCTTAACCAGTGGGCCGAGCACAGCAGTATAAGCTTTTGTCCCAGAGCAGCCGGATATGGATCCCTCCTTTCCACAAGTGGCTGGAATCTCAGTCTCTCCAGGAGTTCTGCCTGTATTAGCTTTCCAACCCGGTAATCATGCAAGTATCATGAAAGCACCATGAAATGTAGCTTTGTGCTCCCAGAGCAGATCTCCAGAGCTAGGTATTCAGCAGTCCCAGGCTTTCTACTCCCTCCCTGCTCCATTTCTCTTCCTCCTGCCCATGAGCTGGGGTGGGGGGAAGGGCTTGGGTCCCACCTGGCCACAGCTTTGGTACGTTACCCTGTTCCGTGAGGTTTCTCTTTTCTCCAGGTGTATGCAGCCTGGCGCCATCCTCTTTCCTGTTGCTCTCTCAGGATTAGTTGTATCAACTATATTTTCTAATTGTATACAGTTTTAGGAGGAAGCCTCTGTCTCTCCTCTCATGCTGCCATCTTTAATCCATTCAATGATCACTTTTAACATGCATGGACAGAATTTTATTTCTGGCTTGAATGGACTGGGTACCCTGGCTGACCTTCTGAATCAAAACAACTAAGAATTCTGGTTATATATTTAAAATATCTTTAAATAAATTAAATACATAGAACATAAAATTTACCATCTCAACCATTTTTAATTATACAGCTCAGCAGCAGTAAGTATATCTAGAAGGTTGTGTAACCCTCACCACCATCCATCTCCAGAACTTTTTCCATCTTGGAAAACTGAAACTCTCTGTCCATTAAACAACAGCTCCCATTCTCCCCTCCCCTTCTAAGAGCTAATTACTAAGCAAGTCTCCTGACATTGGCTGAATAATATTCCATTATACATATATGCCACGTTTTGCTTTTCCATTCATTTTTCAGTGGACATTTGAATTGCTTCCACCTTTGTTTATTGTGAATAATGCTGCTAGGAACATGAGTGTACAAATATCTTTTCAACAGCCTGCTTTTAACTCTTTGGGGTGTATACCCAGAAGTGGAATTTCCAGATCACATGAGAGTTCTATTTCTAATTTTTTGAGGAGCTGCCATACTGTTTTAAAAAGTGGCTGTACCATTTTACAATAGTGCACAGGATTCCAATTTTGCCACATCTTCATCGATACATTATTTTCATGTTTTTTGTACAGTACCCATCCCAGTTGACACAAGGTGGTATGTCATCATGGTTTTGATCTGCATTTCTCTAAGGATTATGAGGTTGAACATCTTTTTGTGTGCTTATTGGTCATTCATATATCTTCTTTGGAGAGTATTTATTCAAGTCTTTTGCCCATTTTTAAATCAGATTTTTTTATTGTTGAGTTGTAGGAGTTCCTTATATATTCTAGATATTAATTCTTTACCAGATACATGATTTGCAATTATTTTCTCCCATTCTGTGGGTTGCCTTTTCACTTGGTTCATTGTGTCCTTTGATGCACAGCAGTTTTTAATTTTGATGTAGTCCAATTCATCTGTTTTTTTTTGCTGCCTGTGTTTTTAGGGTCATATCCAAGCAATCATTACAAAATCCAGTACCATGAAGCTTTTCCTCTGTGTGTTCTTCTGGGAGGTTAAAAAATGTCTTTTTAAAATGTGTTGATTGTCAGTTTATTGAGGAACACCCAAAGCCAGTGTGTGGAAGTAGGAACCTGGAGAGGTACGCAGGGCACTGAAGCCAGCTTTCCCTTTCAGACCATCTTTAAAGCTATAGATTTGAGCTTTGGTTTTCATGGATTCCACAGTTCAGGGGATAGGAGATAAAGCCCAAGACCACTGAAGGTGAGGAATCCAGTAAGAAATACTGGATAAAGATGTAGCCCCAAATGCAAGGTGGGCCAGAGTGCTGTGCCCTTAGAGGGAGGATGAACTAGAAATAAGCCAAGCTCTCCCTTCCCCAAATGATCCCAGAGAAAATTGCCTATCTCAACTTGATACTGTGTATACAGGAGAAAACATATCCCCTGAGAACTCACAAACAAGTCTTAACAAAGGTTTGCAAACTGGATTAATATGCCTGGATTAGATCAAGAAGTTAATTTAATGTAGCCCTGAAATGACAGCATCCTGAGTACATGGCAGAAACAAATGCAAATCTTCTCTGGAGAAAACTGCTTTCAACTCAGTGCTCAAGGAATTGACACACTATTTTTCCGGGAAATATGAGTTTACAGTAAAAAAAGACATCACAAAGACACACAAAGACACAAAAAAAGAGTAAAAGCCTGTAGAGGCAATATTCGGTGATATCCAACTCCAAAATAATGCAGATTATTGAAACTATTAGACACAGATTATAAAGTAAGTTTAACACATTCAAAGAAATACAATAAGAAATTTAAAAATTCTTTTTAGAAAAATGGGCACTAATGCTCTCTTTCAATTTCTACTCCATCCTAAAAGTAATTTTATCATAATCAAACATTATAGCTTTATCTGTTTTTTGAACTTAACATAAATACAACATACAGTATGTATTCTTTTGTGTCTCTCATTTGTACACCATTATGTTATGACAGTAATATTTTGTTTTTGTACAACTGTAATTAGTAAATTTTAATTATTATATAGTATTCTACTCTATGAATGTACCACAATTTCTTTTCCATTCTGCTGTTGAAGACATTTAGTTGGCTATTACGATTAATGCTAACATGAACATTTTTGTGTTATGTCTCCTCATTTCCATGCACATACATTTATGTAGGTTATATAGCTACAGAGTAGAAATGATGGATCATGACTTTGGTATCAATAGATACTGTAGTACAGCTCTCCAATGTGATTATACCAGTTAACTCTCCCGCCACCATATTTGAAAATTTTCATTTGTTCCAAATCCTCACTGACACTTGGTAGTTTGATTTTATTTTCACTAATCCAATAACTATGTAATAGTATCTCTTTATGTTTTAAATTTGCATTCTCTCTCAGAAGTCTCTCTCAGGAGTTCCTGACATTGGCGAAGCTTCCTGACATCTACAGAGCAGACATTCTTCCAGCAGGTTACTGGAGATGAATTCAATGTGTTGTAACCAGCTTTTATGCTTTCTTTAATGAAATAGGCAAGAAGAGAAACTGAGTGTATCCTATGCAGTAAGGAATAAATGTCTCACTCCTAATAAGGTTGAGCTCCTTTTTATGTTTATTGGCTATTTGATATCTTCTTTGGTGAAGTGCATATTCCAGTTTCTTGACCATGTTTCTATCTGTCTTACTGATGAGTGGGAGTTCTTTATATATCCTGTGTATGTACCAAACACTTTTTCCAGATCTGTGGCTTGCCTTTTCACTTTCTTAATGGTGATTCTTGATGAACAAAAGTTGCTAGTTTTAATGGAGTCCAGTTTAATCAGTCCTTTATGATTAGTGCTTTTTTGTGTCCTGGTTAAAAGTCTTCCCCAACCCCAAATTCATTATGATATTTTCCTATATTATTTTCTAGAAATTTTACTGCTCTGCCTTTCAAATCTACCCCAATTGGTATTGATTCTGGGGTATAATGTAAAATAGGGATTAAGCTTCTCTATCTCCCATACCACATATTTCAGCTCATCTTGTCCTTGTGAAAGGGCTGGCCTGAATTATTGATTTGCCCTTTCCAGAAGTAAAGTCCTATATTACTAGATTATCTGATTTTCCCTCTCCAGAAATAAAGTCCTATATTAAAGTCCTCACTCACAATAATGGAAGTTCAATTAAAAAAATAATGGTTAATCTATAAGTATATATCCAGCAAAACTATAATTCAAGAATAAAGGTTATGTGTGATATGATAGCGGCCAAAAACAATGGACATGGATAATCTTGACAACATATTGTGAGTAAAAAGGAAGTCATAAAATCATACACACAGTACAATACCATTTATGTAAGTAAAAACATACATGTATATGCAATAAAAGTATAAAAACACACATGGGATTGATACACATCAACTTTAGACTAGTAGTACCTCTGGGAAGAAGATGGGGGAAAAGAAGTGAAATGAAGCTTTAGCTATCATATTTGTAAATATCTGCAATTTTTATCTCTTAAAAAAAGGATATAACATAATGGCAGATAAAGTTAGTTTTAATGGAGTCGAGTTTAATCAATCCTTTATGGTTAGTGATTTTGTGTCCTGGTTTGGATGTCAGTTCTAGTATTTTTTTGCACTTTTATATAAGGTTGAAGTGTGTCATTAAAAAAGACATTGTTTTTTTAAAAAAGAAAACTGCAGAGCATATCAGTCAACAACCAAATGAACTATAGGTGGAACACATGATGTAATATTTCATTTTAAGGTTAATTAAAGAAATCTTTTAAATATGCATGACTCACTAGCCTGCCCATCTCTGGGTTGCTCAGTTGAAGGCTCCAGACACAGCTCTTTCCCCAGCGTGTAACACTCGTCTCTAATTGTCATCAGCAAAGGTTCCAAGGAAATTGGCAGGATGCTTGGTGGGGAGTCATCAGGTCTTTTAAGTATAAACTGAAGTGTGAGAAAAAAAGCTACAGGTGGGCATCATAAAGAGACATTCATGCTTCTGAATATGTGGAGAAAGAATGTTGTCATTAGGCAACATTAGAAGGACATTTAAAATAACAATTAACTTTGGATCAGGTGTTCATTGGGGTAGTAATTAAACACAAACTAATGGAGTTCCTGACATTGGCAAAGCTTCCTGAAGTCCTACAGGGCAGACATTCTTCCAGGAGGTTACTGGAGATCAATTCAATGGATTGCAACCAGCTTTTATTTTGTCTTTCTTTAATGAAATAGGATAGAAGAGAAACTATCTGAGTGTATCCTATGCAGTAAGGAATAATTGTCTCATGAGACTTTCATTTTAGTGATATTCAAAATCAAAATGGAGACTCAACCAAAGCAACCCATCTAACCTAAAGAGCCCCAATAGTCGTACTGATTTACACTAGCACGTAATACAGGGTCATGATGTTTATTGTATTTCTGATGGTGGATGTAATTTAAAATGTTTGGAAAACATTGCCGCAGGGACTATAAATTTGGACATGATTTATGATTAACCCTTATGATTTAAGTAGTGGAGGCTAATTATAAGAACTACAATAGAAAAAAATTAATTAAGAGTTGCCATCAAAAGGATGGCTCTGGGAAGCTCCTCCATTGGATGATCAAGCGGGTATGCTGGGGAGCCCAGAGAAGCAACTGCAAAAGAAGGAATTAGAAAGACCTAAGAGGGCAGAAGAGGGAGAGGAGAGTAGAAGAAAAGGAGAAAGAGAAAAGCTGAGGGGCAAGAGCTGTGACAGAGGGTGTGGGCAGCTGCCCTCAGAAGCGCAAGTTCGGGTGAAAGAGGGAGAGATGGTCAGAAAGGAAGTTTAGTAGGTTCTTTTTTGTGGTGTTCCATGTAATCAGCCTCTCACCCCCAAGAAACATGCAGAAAAAATATGGGTGGAATATATTTGGGTCAAAGTCACCTTATGATAATGTCTTTTTTTTAAAAGCACCCGTCCCTAACTAATTATTTTGTTTAACTTGTAGCCTTGTTTTGTTTAATTTGTAGCACTCAGCCTTTTAGGAAATCAGTAGGTATTTGATTATTAAAACATGGACTGTCTTTCTGGCTGGTGATACAAAAGCTATAAAGCTGGCCGGTCTGTCTTTGGGTGCTAGGTCCCCCTTTCAGTCTGCCAAGCACCCCCTCCCCAAAGGTGACCACTTCATTTCAATGCTGGCCTCTCTTCTTTTCCACTCATGCCCAATCCCCAGATTTAATCTCAGAAAAGACATGTCATCAGGCTTTTTATGAAACTATGTATGTGCTGACCTCACTCCAAGTGAGATGGGAGACGTGGGTGAGTCTGGCCTGATGAAGGACACATCGGCTGTCCAAGGAGGGGGACTTTCACTTGGAGGGTCAGGGGGATGGCTGGGATGCTGGGGAGGGAGGTCCTGCAATGGTGACACAAGTCGTGCTTTTTAAAAATTGTAATATAGCTGATATCCAATATTATATTGGTTACAGATGTATAACATCATAATTTGATGATTACATACATGACTAAATGCTCAAAAGTGGTACTTTTGAGCTGGGCTGTCCAGACATAGAGTGGGAGGAGGAGGGGGGTTGGCCACTCTAGATGTGAGGTGGTGTGAGAAGAGGCAGGCTGCTGGAAAGACTGGGGTGGGTAGGTTCCGAGGTAAGAGCAAGTAGGCAGAAGTGTTGAGCAGACCCTTGGTGCCAGACTCACCTTTGGGCTTCGTTCAGGCGGGAATGCAGAGGGGGCGGCCCTGGTAGTTCCGGGCTTGAGGGGTCCGTGGGCCTGTGCTCCGTGAGAGTGAGCCTAGTCCGGTCACCGCAGACGAGAATCTGGAAAGAAGGATGCACACTCACCTTCCTGAGAATCTGTTCATTGCTGATGCTGGTTTTCAAGTCCCTTTTGATGGCTGGACACACAGACGTCTGAGTCTGTGCACAGTGCTTCTCATAGGTTCTCAGGAACTTCTGCAGGATTGTGCGACGGGCACGGGTGCTCCTTTGGTTTTCTGTTTTCCTTCCTTTTCTCTTGGCATCCTGAAAACAGTCACGTGGACTCTGGATTCCACTTGGATTATAAAAACAGTCACTTGCCCTAAAACTTAACACACAGATGTCTTTTTAAAGAGCAGATCACACCTCCCCCACTAAAAATTGGCAAATATTGTTTGCACACCTTTCTCTGAAAGTCTTGAAGTGCTTCATTTATCTTAAAATGGGAGTAGGGAATTAAGATTGAGACAGTTAAGCAGAATTGTTCAATTTCCAATTTCTATATTTATGGATCCATGTTTTCTTTTAGAGTCTTTAAAATGACAGCAGTACCCATGGAACTCAATTATGAAGGAACACAATTCACATTAATAATAGGCACTAAATATTACTATGGACATGTATTAAAATGGCATAATTCTCCTTATTGACAATTCTTGCCAGGCAATATCTCACAGGGGCTAACAGTGTGGGCTTTGGAGGAGAACAGGGCTGGATTTTAGTCTTGTCACCACCACTTGACTCAGTGGGTGGCCTTAGATAAGTTATGAAGCTTCTTCAAGCCTCTATTTCCCCATCTGTAAAATGAATTATGGTTATCATAAGGATTGAGGATTATAAAGCATTTAGCACAATGCTTGGCATGTAGTAAAAATGCTTGATAAACTTTATTATTATTATTATTCTGCTGGCCTCAGGACACCATGCAATCAGTACTGATTTTGTCCTTTAAATTATCCAGTCCCAAAAGGTCCCCCATGTAATAAGGCAACAGCTGGGTCTCTGAGCTGGCTTCACAAAGACAGAGGTTTATGGGAATTACAGTTGATTCTTGAGCAACATGGGTTTGAACTTTAAGGGTCTACTTATATGTAGATTTTTTTCCAATTAATATTTGGAAGATTTGTAACAACTTTTTGGAGATTTGTAACAATGTAAAAAATAATTTTCTTTTCTCTAGCTTACTTTATTATAAGACTACAGTATATAATACATACATGAATAACAGAGTATGTGTTAACTATTTGTTATTGGTAAGGCATCCAGTCAATAGTAGGCTATTAGTAGTTAAGTTTTTGGGGAGTCAGAAGTTATACAGAAGTTACACAGTTACACAACTGCAAGGGGCTTGGCAACATGTGCCACCCTCAGGCCTGCTCTCCAGCCAGTTGCCAGAGTGATATTTTTGAAATGTAAACACATCATGTGACTCTTTTGCTTAAATCTCTCTGGAGGTTTCCCATTACATTTATCTTTACTGCATTTTATATACACTTAATTTCATCAGTTATTGAGAGAGGTATATACATGTAAATTTGTCTGTTTCTGCTGTTAATCCTGTAAATTTTTGTTTTATGGATTTTGAAGCCATGCTATTACAAACTTAAAATTGACAAATCTTTCTGGATGATTTGCTTTTTTTGTCACTATTTAATATCCCTTTTTATCCCTAGAAATGCTTCATGTCTTAAAGCCACAGTTTCTAAACTGGGTACTGTGGTACTTGAATGCCCTGCAAACTTACAGGGCACTTTGGGATATTTTAAGTTTTCAAGGGAAAGCTTGCAACAACTGTCAGATGCCATAGGAGCAAAAGGAGGTACAGTTTCAAATTAGATCACACTTGTATTAGCATCCTCTTGTTGTGTAACAAATTACCCCACCATGACTAAAAAACATTCTAGAAAGAAAAGATGAACTCAGCAAAATGTAGAGACATTAAGGTACTGGGGTAAGGAAAATCACCCTATTATAGCTCTGGTTGGGACTTTATAGATTGTCTAATCCAGGGAAGCCATCACTAGGATATCAATTGCCCCAGGACTTTGAGTGATAACATCAGGAAAGTACTGGGCAAACCAGGATGGTCCTTCGCTCCACCGCTCCTGCCCACGGCCCTTACCCAGCGGTCGCCTCAGAGTTCTCCTCATGGCTGTGCTCCAGGCAGCTCTGCAGAGCAACCAGACTTGGTAACTACCCAAACCTCTTTGCCATGTCAAGTCTGGGGTGACTCCTTGTTTTACACAAAACAAAAATGAGGCCTGAGAAGGGAAAGAAGGGAATTGGCCAGCTGAGAACAGAACTGGGCCTGTTGATTCCCCAAACCGCCTTTGGTAAGCATCCAGGATTGGCAGTTACCACTGGGCAATCATTGGGCAATTGACAAACACTGGCATGGCATCATGGGAGACTGTGCAGGTGGGGAGGTGGTGACCCAGGCTTTGGGTCTGGGCTTGTGCCTGTCAATTACTAGTAGGGTGATTGTGAGTGATCAGCTTCACTTCCCAGAACTTCATTTTCTTCATTTGTAACAATGGTAATATCACTTCTTTGGCATTTGTGAGGATTAAATGTGGTAACATATGTAAAGTTTTTTCATCAGTAACATGAGGATGATGATGGTAAAGAATTGTTATGAGGTATAGTGAGTCAGTACATGAGGAACTCAGAACAGAGCCTGGCACAGAGTCAGTGCTCAGGTGGGGAACCTGAGGCCTAGGGAGGTTAAGTAGTTTGCCTGCAGGCAGACACTGTTAAGGAGTGCAACTGGGTTTCAGATTCAGGCAGTCTGGCTTCAGAGCCCAAATTCTTAACCACTCTAAGGTACCACCTATCAGGTATTGTTATGCACTGAATATATCCCCACCAGATTCATATGTTGAACCCCTAGATCCCAGCATGATGGTATTAGGAGGTGAGGTCTTTGGGAGATAATTAGGTTAGATGACATCATGAGGGTGAGGCCCTCAGGATGGATTTAGTGCCCTTATAAGAAGAGAAACCATTGTGCTCATTGTCATGTTCCCCCCTGCCGCCCACCTCCCCAGAGGTGTTGAGAAGGCTGGACCTGCAAGAGAAAAGGCTTCCATGGGAAATGAAACCTACCTTACTGGCAACTCGATCTCGAATTTCCCAGCCTCCAGAACTGTGAGAAATAGATTTCTATTGTTTACCAGAATGCCTAGTCTATGGTATTTTGTTATGGCAGCCACAGCTGACTACATAGGCTCTATACAATATTACTGTTCACAATATGATGTGTTTCTTACCAGCCTTTTCTGGATATTTACATAAGCACAAAGTATACACATACACACAATCTATAAATATTAAGATACTGTTGAGTTTTTCACTCAATAGTGTATCACTAGCATCTCTCTATGTCATCCATATACAGTAAATGTGTGGCCCAGGTTAGCAGCTACCAAGGCGCTGGAGGCCAGCATGGATGAGCTGATGCATTCATGAGGACTTACTGGAGGCCAAAGAAGCAGGTGTTCCACCCTATGCTAGTTTTCTTACCTAACTGCATGCAGCTCTCCTGGAGATGGGAGGAGGCAAAATCAAAACAGCCCCGGTCTGTCCCGAGGAAGAGGGGGGATTAGAGTAGAGATCCAGCCTGAGCCCCCTGCTCGCCCAGCTCTCCCTCGGAATCCCAGGGGACAAGGAAAGGGAGAGCAAGGAGGGGCTGCGTTCTGTTCTATTCTCCAAGTCTCCTGATACCCGCTACAATTTCAGTACGTACCGGAGAGAATCCCAAGTACCCAGCCGAGGCCAGGAATCCCTAACTGCTGTGCGCCGGGCGCCCCTGCCCAGGGGAAGCCGGCTGGGGAGGTGCGAGCCCGCGCCGTCTCCGCGGAGCTCAGGGGCCAGCCCTGCCTGGGGCAGCCAGCCGGGGGCCACCGGTTCCGGCGCCGGAGCAGCCTCGCCCGTCCTGGGGCACGCTCCCCTCCCGGGCCTGCGCCCCGCACTCACTCGCGAGCACAGTCCTGGCGTCCCGCGCCGGGCGGCTCCCCGCGTCGCGGCCGGGGCCCTGGAGTCGGCGGCCAGGGGCGGGGACCGCGAGGGGCCGAAGCTGCAGGACTCTCGGCCGGCGAGGGGCGGCGCGGAGGGTGGAGGGGGCTGGAGGAGCACTGCGGCAGGAAATTGCGTTCCAGGGCTCGTCCGGGCCCGGGCTCCGACTCGGAGGACTCCCGGTGTCCTCCCTGCGGGTCAAGGTCGTGGCGGCCAAAGGCGCTGCGAAGGATGAGGCCTAGGAGGGGACAGAAGGTGGGCACCCGTGTCCCTGGTCATCACTGGGGCCTCGTGGCGGCGGTGGGGGGCGGGGTGGACAAGGGCGCCAAAGGATAGATGTCAGCCTGCTACCCGGCCGCGCGAGGTCGGCTGTGCATCCACGCAAGCCCAACGCGGCTTCCCGCGGGTTACAGCCCACAGCAGCGGACGGCCGTGGGAGGCCGCCCTCCTGCTCACTAGAGAGGGATAGTTTTGAGGGTCTTTTTTAAAATTAATCAATCAATCAATTAATTCTAATTCTCCCCACTCCCAGGAGGAAGGGGCGCCAGGATAAGGAGGCACCGCTGGGTTAGGCCTGTGAAGGCGTTTTTCTAGGGACTATTGAGGAGATGTAAAAGCAGTTACAGCTTTTGGAAGAAATGGATGGGGGAGGAAATGGGTTCTAAGAAATCGTGCCGTGGGCAGTGGCTTAGGGGCTTGTAAATATAAGGATTAGGGGACTAAATAAAGGGCCCAAAGAAATCCCTTCCTTAATCCTGGGAAACTGGTAATGTGTTACCGTACGTGGCAAAAGGGACCTTGCAGATGTGATGAAAGTTACCGACCTGTAGGATGAATGGTTTTCCTCGATCATCCAGGTGGGGCAAATCTAATACCTGAGGCTGAGCCCATGAAGCCAGGAACTCTCCCTACTGCGGCCGCAGAGAGGTGAGGAGGCCAGAGAGCTGCAGGGAGGTGGACAGCATCTGCCCGTGCTGGCTTTACGGTGCTGGCTTTACACATGGAGGAGTGGGGCTGTGAGCCAAGGGGCTCCGCATTGGGGAGTGGGGCTGTGGGCCAGGGGGCTCCACATGGGGGAGTGGGGCTGTGAGCCAGGGGGCTCAATGTGGGGGGGCCTCCAGGGTCTGGAAAAGGGGCAAGCACATTCTCCCCAAACTCCATAAAGGAACCCAGCCCTATGACACTTAGATTTTAGTCCAGTTAGACAAGTGTTAGACTTCTGATGTCCAGAACATAAGAAATTGTATATACATAATTTTATATTAAATTATGGACATGCAAAAGTTTGGGAAATACAGTCTTTTAGACAAATATGTTGCCAGCTAAAAATGGGAGCTTCTGTTACTTAAAGTAGAAGGGAAAATGGATATTGGGAGATAACTAGCAATCTGAGCCATGCAGCTACTCGCTGCCATTATTACAAGAATCCTGGTACAGTAGATGGGATGGGCACCAGTTTGCAGGTACTATAAGAAATCTTCATACACTGAACATACATAAATCAGGGGCAGCCTGGAACTCATTTCCTGGTTGTTATAGTTTTCTGTGTGAGTCAACAGGGCTGCATTAGTGGAGAGGCTAAGATATGTGTTTTGGGCTCCTGCAAAGCTGGCCAAGCCACTGGTGGCCTTCCTAATATTATCCATTCTCCACTTCTGCTTTGCTGACTTAACTCAGTTTTGGTATGGGGGTCAGTAAGACAGGCTAGGAAAACCACATTCCCAATCTTCCTTGCCTATGGGATAACCATGTGACATAGTGCTGGTAGATGAGACATAAGCATAAGCACAAGTTGATAGATGAGGCTTCCCAGAAAGTGCTTTAAAAGGAGGCAGACCAAGGTTGCATGAGTTTTTGTATTTCTTCTTGCTTGGAACACTGTCATTGTGCTGAAGATGGAGCTGCATCGTGTATGTAATGCCCAGACAGCAAACACTGAAGGATAGTGGAGAAGATGGATGGGAGGAGCTGGAGGCCCTCTGATGGCCTCAGGGAGAGGCTGAACCCATCTGGGTTACCCTTTTCTGGGTTCTCATTACATAAAGAAAAGAGCACCTCAATTTATTTAAAGCAAAGCTGTTCAGATTTCTTTTAACTTCAGCAGAGCAAGGGGTATGGAAATATGAACTCCTTGATTGATGCATCTTTAGGAAATGTGTAAACATTCTAATTCAAAATTTTAAAAGTATTCAATGAGTGGGTTCCACATTTTTGATTGGGACTGTTTTCTTTAGAATTTGTATCAGTGACCCATCTCTGAAGGACATAGTAACTGCTGTGAAGAGAACAGGGATGGCAGTGGCAAGAAATGGAGACACAGTCTCTTTGGGTCCTGAAAAACACTGGGTTTTGAACTGAAAATGTAAAAACTGGTCCTGCTGGCAATTTGGATCTTATCAGCATGTGATTCTGGTGCAGGGTTTCTAGAGTGACATCTTAGAAGTGTATTTCTTTTTTCTTTCTTTTATTTTTTATTTTTTAAATAGAAGTATATTTCTAAGAAGTCCTGAATAATGCTGATGCTGCTGGTCCAATGACCCCACTTTGAATAGCAAGCTGTAAGTTAGTGATTCTCAAAGTGTGGCTCCCATCCCAGCAGCATCAAGATCACCAGGAAATTTAGAAATGCAAAATCTTGGACCCTTTTCCAGGCCTACTGAATCACACACTATGGGGTAGGACCCAACCATTGTTTAAGTTCTATAAGCAATTCTGATGTGTGCTTTAGTTTGAGGACCATTGCTCTGTGAAAAACCAAAACCTCTTCTGGTTCTGGGATTCTCTGGTGCCCAGTCTTGCTGACTGTTTCAGAAACTGCTGGCAACTCGATACCCCAAAGTGGAAATCCTTTAACACTTGCATGACCCTCTTCTATGGTTCCATCTCAATGATGGATTTAGAAACAAGTACTACAGTGGCTCCACGACTATAGTAGCAGATGTAGGGGCTCAGAATCCAGCTCAAGGTGGCACTGGCAGCTTGATACCTGAGTACCTCTTTCTTTTCTCCTATTCTCTCCTTTCCTCCCCACCCTTTCTTCCCCCCTTCCCTCCTCCCTCCCTCCCTTCTTTCCTTCCCTCCCTCCCTCCCTCCCTTCCTCTCTTTCTTTTCTCAAATCAACAAAGGGCTTTTATCATATCTTTATAATATCACAAATAGGCCTTAGGAATTGCCCAAAATCTTGTTGTTTCCATAGTTGGACAACTCATATCTTATTCCTCAGGCTGCTAAACTGTTCCTTTTTTCAGAAACTTAACTACCATCCACAATTTTTGGACATCCTTATTTTTAACTGTAGTGGCTCACTGAATCAATCAGCTGTATTTGACACAAGTTCATTGTCAATTCCTTCGAGAATTGACTCATCTTTCTTGGCTCAAGATACTTAGTAATGCCTGGCCTCATCAGAACCCTGTCAATGTGTTTTTCACCCAAGAAACTTTGAATTTTAACAAGAGATCCATTCTCCTGAACAAGGACGCTGATGGGGAAATGAGCAAACCCAGGCCTCACCTCTAACAGCCTCAGGTAATGCCCTGACCCTGCCCTGTAGGGACACACGCAGGGCAAATGGTAACCAGCCCCTTCCCATTTGCCTACTACTTGTCAGCTGGGAACCTCCTCTTCTTTCCAGTGAATCTTCTCCAAGAAATGCCTTCCCAGAAGCCTCTGGAACACTTCCTTCTCATTTCACTGTTCAGATCAGAGTCGTATGCACACCCCCTAGACATATTAACAGAGTGAGATGGCCACGCTCAGACCAGCCAAAGCTCATCACGCAGGTTACTGGTGAACACCTCTGGGGAATTTATTGTTCACAAGGAAGGATGGAGAATGGCTTTTAGGTAAGTGGCCAACAACTTCTGCCATAGGGAACCAACATTTTCATACAAAGATGTGGGATGTAGTGTTATGCATAAATATAAATAAATGGAAACTATGTGGTTAAGAAATTACAGTACATTTATTTGGATGAAGGAACTACTAGAACTAATAGGCATGGAAGCTGGGTTCCAACCAGGTCTGTCTGATTCCAAACCCACTTTGTCAGTTGCTATTTCCTCCTTGAGTTTAACAAAAGCATTAACAACAATAGAAGCAAAAGCAATAGAAAACTTTCCAAAATTTAGGCTACTTAATAAAAAGCAGTCAGTGTGTTACAATACCCCCATTCTCCAAGGGCTAGACTTAATCCTCATCCCAACTGTCACTTTGGGGAGATTAGTAGACTCCTCTAAGATTCTTTGCCCGATTCCTGCTGAGAAACCAAAACAGTAAAAATTAAAACAATGTCAGTTGAAGTTTCCAAGGATTCTGGCTGCTTTACTGGGTCGCTCACAATGTAATTAAAACACCTAAGCCCTTCAAACAAACCCAGGGTGTATGAAAAAGACTGATAAAAGAAAAGCAGTTACTGGAGAATTTGGATAATATGATTTTCTGCAATTAAGGGAATATAACTTTAGAAATTAAAGGGCTTCATCGTATTGCTGGTCTTTGGCTCACACTCTGTTCTGATGATGTTCCTGCCAGTTTGGTTCTATACGAGGTGATTGATTGTGCAGGGAGCTAACCATACTGGCCTGTTATTTTTCTCAGGTCAAATACCTTCTAGATGTGTTGGCCTCCTCCCCATTTAGTATTTTTGTCAAGGAATGAGAAGGGATGTAAAGGAAAAGCTGAATTCCAAATTTGTCATTTTGTTACTTAATAGGTCTGCCTGCATGTTTGATAGGAAAGAAAAAACTTCTACTTTCTTTGGAAATGGAACGTGGTTAGATGTCAAGTATCTAAAACGTAGATCTCAAAATTCAAAATTTATTTTTCTTTCAAAGCCATACCAACATTCACTCAGAATAACCACCACAGTTTTCTTGCTTTTGCAATCACCTTCACAAACTCACTCTTTCAGATGCTTTGTAAGAAGGGTGCGCCGTGAACCCCGCAGTCTGACGGCTGGGCAATCTCACCTCCCTGAGGATGGATGGCTCTGTGCTTCTCATGCTTGCTTGCCTGTTTCATGCTTTGACCACAATCTCATTATTTCAGAGATGCAATTTTCAGTTTGTAAGTGCTCATGCTTGTGCAGGTAGCATGAAAACCCACCACCATCACCCTTTTGCCTTGGTGTGGACAAAATAAAAGTGCATGGTGGACACAAAGCCATGTGGCCAATGTGGGTCTGAACAATGGAAGGAGGGAGGGCAGAGCCAGGGCCGCGCAGCACCGCGGGGCCTGCAGGCCGGTGTGACACTGCAGATGGGAACGGGCTCATGGAGGGGTTCTGAGACCCCAGAAGGTGATGAAACCACAATATGGAAGAATCTGGGTCCCACAGGCCCTGTGTGGAAGTGTCCTATTGAACACTTTGAACTATTTGGAGAGCAAGAAGAAAAAGTTCTCTTGTGTTATACCGTTGAGAGTTTGGAGTTTGTGAGAATGTAAGTTTATATTCATGAATCTTTCAATTCCATTTCATAATTTTTTTCCACAAACATTTTATGTGTGTCTTTTGTTAGAGTTCCTCAGTCACATTACCTGTTTTATTGATGCTGAATATGGTGTTTCATTTAAAAAGAAAGAAAAAAAGTTTTTTCCACTGTTGTTGATTGTAACTATTTTAGGCTTGTAGGCCATATGGTCTCTGTTGAAACTACTCAACTCTGCCATTTCAGTGTGACAGTAGCAGCCATTGATAATAAGTGAACCGACAAACACGGATGTGTTCCAGACACTGAAGTTCAAGTGTCATAAAATTTTCATAGATCCTATGACATCTCATTTTTCTTGTTTTTTGACCATTTAAAAGGGTATAGAAGAGCTGCTATTAACAAAAACAGAAAATAAGCATTG